CGTAAAGTTTTAATTGAGCCTTGATTAATTCGGCCTATAATAAAAACTATTCACTCAGTTTACGCGAAAGATACGCGGCGTTTTTGGACGTGCAAAAAATGAAAATAAATAAATTTATTCGTCGCTGCTTGTACAATAATTACATCGATCTCGACGATCGGCCAAACCGAAGAAATAATTAACCGTGCGAATACAAGATTATTTATCCGCCGATTTCCCGCTCGAACGATCGCTCGCTCGTTCTTGTTTCTATACACGAGGAGCGTGCACGCGTACTCTTATCCATTTATTCAAGGGGGAGGGAATATAGACGAAACGAAGGGTGTGATACCCCTGCAATGGGGGTCCCATATGCTTCGCGTACGGAAGAACGTGTACCACCACCACCGTGAGTGTGTTTTGATTTCCCTAATAGTCACGTCGGAAAATAGTACTTCTAGGACCGGTCAAGCCGAAAAATGCCGAATAACCCTCGATTCGTTTCACCCTTCACAACAATTTTGCGAAGAGGGAATGATAAATTCATTCGATCCAAGGATTTTTAATCTTAACGAAATTTGAACGCAAAAGCGAAAGGAGGGAATCGAACGAAGGGATCTCTCTTAAATCTCTCTTCTCGTGCAAAAGAGATTTGCCGATAAAACTTGTGGTGGTCTTAATTAGCGGAATCGATGAAACGCGTAAAAATTGAAAGAGGCGAGGGGCGTCGCTGATGAGAAGTGGCAGCGGGCGAGCGAGATTTCCCACTGGATCGTTTGATTCGACCAATGAATGGCAAGCCCATTTCGCTATGCATCGCGCACCGTCGTTCGCTTAATAAGTTTTTCCTTATCGATGTGTGTCATCTACGAGCCGGCCAGCAACCGGCTCGGAGGAGGAGACCACACCACCCGTCATTATCGTCCCTATCTCGGTTCACAGTTTTCATCATTTCCATCCAAAGTAGCGGTGCACACGGCGGTTACTTACTCGTTAAATGGAACGTGGCATTAATGCGGCGTGGTCAAACATGTGTCGCTGATTGCACGCACTTTCACCTGATTAGCTTTTAACGGGACGTGAAAACGTTTTCGGTTCTTTCTTTCTTTCTTTTCTTTTCCTTTTTTTTTTTTTTTTTTTTTTTACGACATCTGACATGTACAACCCGTGTTTCTTAATGCGATTGTCATATTAATTACTTGTTCCTGCCTTTTGTGTTAAATTTATAGCTGCCACACGCCCTTTTTTTTATTCGAATCGATCATACATCCTCACGGTTACAAATATGTCTCGCGTTGTTACACATTTTTTTCCACGATAATCAAAAATGATATAGAAGTATCTGTATCGATGAAAGTGTACGTGTATTAAAGAGAGAAAAAAAAGAAAGAAAGAAAGAAAGAAAAATGTACGTAAAAACAATAAACAAACGTTCACGTTGATTTTATTAACGCGAACGAAAGAATTGGAAAGAATTTGCAGCGATAATTCCAGAATAATAACAATAACGCTCGGGAATCCCGTGACCGGCTACCTTGATATCGAGAGTCCATACCGACGGAGAGATTCGCACGGCGCAAGGGTGCGGCGAGACAACGTGGCACGATTCGGTCAAATTTGCATGCATTAACGCCACAAGCGCGGCTGATTGACAATCCGTGTGTCATTGTGACGTCAGTCAAATCGCCCGAGCATCCTCGACCAATCGCAATCAATTAAGGTAACGATTGATTGTTACGCGTTTCGACTCGACGAAGGGAAATATCGACGCGAGCCCGTATTTATGCGGACGATAGACGGCGCGCCATTGAAAATCACAATATCGGAATCGACGAGGGACCGGGCTTAAACCTTCGCGCGTTTAACGGATCGACCGTTTTTAAACCATTTTTCCCCTTACACACACACACACACACACACACACATATATATATAAAATACCTTCGTTTTGTTGGTAACGAGCGAGCAAGCTGTAAATTTGTTCGAGGGAATCTGATCGGAACGGGAGGGGGAAGTTGATCGTCGCTGGCACGTTGATCGTGCGGTATTAATCGGGCGCGGGTTATTTTCGCGGTGAAAAATTGAACGGTGTCGTCCCCTCGAAGGGGCCATACGTCGAGGAAAACGAAACGATGGTCGTCGGCGCGGCCCACCCGAAATGGAATCCGTCAAATTGACGGAGGGAGTATGGAGAGGCGCGTCACGGCGCCGAGGGTCGCAGAGGAGGAGGAGGAAACGGTCGCGGAGAGGAGGGCAGCACGCGAGGGCTATGATCGATGTCCCGAAATTAAGGGCTTCGCCCGCCGAGCGAAATAAAGTTAACCAATCGGGGCAACGAATCGCTCGTTCGCCCGTTATTGGCCTCTGCTCCGCGTCGCGACGACCCGATGCCCGATTTTTTCACCCCTTATTTTCCACGAAAGGGGTGGTGTGTGTGGTGGTGCCGATTCCAATTCGAGAAAAAGCGATGTGGGGAGGAGGAGGTGGTGAGGCACGCGCTGGATCCGGCCGCGGATGATGGGAGGGGAGGGGAGGGGGAGGATTTTCGTAATTATGGAACGGCGTTAGTCCCGAGGGATTCGACGTCAGTCGACGGGAAAGCCCCTGCGCCTCTACGGCCACGACAATGCCATTTTAATTATGCATGTTAATTGGTTTCCGAGTCCAGCGTAATACCGATTCTCGCGGTGCATCATCTCTCCTTCATCGATGCGCTCTGCTCCGTGCACCGATCGATCTCCCCCTCCTCGCCCATCATCCTCGGTTCGATACTTCCTTCAAGGATAATTCTCGAGAAATTCCGGGCACGTAGAGAAAAAAATCTCGCGAAGAAATTTTCGATCTTTTCTCCGCCCGAATCTATTCCCCGCATTCGATCTGGCCTCTTTCCTTCGTCTTTAGATCGAGGATGTGACGATCGTCGTCCTCCCCTTCGACCGTTTCCGCTAGGGAAAGTGATGGGGTGAAAAAAATGGCCACGCTTCGATGTAGGAACAACCGCTTTTTGTTTTTTTTTTCTTCTTCTTTTTTTTCTTTTTTCTTTTTTTTTTCTAGTCAGATATACACGATTGATGGGAGAGGGAGGGGAGGGGAAGGGCTGTGTGTTGTACTTTCTGCACAGCTGAGTGAGCATGTCACAATCGGCCAGGGCCGCCTCAATCAAAGTGGCATTGATACCCTTCGCCCGTTCTCTCGATCAGAGGCCCTCGCGCTCTCTCCATTGCGGTTTTGTTCGAGACCGAAAATCTATTAGCCTACCAACAACGCGTAGCGTATACACATATTTTCCACTACATACGTCGCTTCTATTTAGGATGGAAACTGCTAATTTTAATACCGATGAAAACAAAAAATTATTGCTTTCTTTTTTTTTTTTCTTTTATACACGTATAATTGAAACACGATGCAACACTTGACTCGTTTGTACACTCGTCGTTTCTTAAAAGATTATTTTTAAAATTATTTAAAAAACTTTTAAATTTATAAAACAGGCTCCACCATTTTTCCCAAATCCTTTCTCCAAATCTCTACTTAAACGCGTACACGTATACGTAACTAACGTCTAAATACTACGTGATAAACAGTAATGCCAACCGAATCTTCTAATTCCGTTCGTTTACTGTACGCCCAACACGATCTACCACAAACCGAGCTAAGAGACGTAGTTTAGGGTGGCGCTCCATGTGACACGCGACCGCAACGTGGTTGCATTTACATTATATCGCGGTTTATACGATGTTGCTTGGGTGCGTGCGTGCCGTGTATCGAGCCGACATTTTCGAGATTAATTTTTCTAATGCTTTCGTCGGACGACTCTTGTTCCACATCGAAAATTTATCGCGACACGGCTAACACACTGACACAATCGCCCTTCCAAACCGCGAAACAACAAAAAAACTCTTTATTTCACGCTTGAGTTTCCATCGGTTTATCGTATTTACAGAGAGATGTATAATATATATATATCGTATCGTTGCGAGAAGATCACCAGCTCCCCTTTCCTACTCGGTGGAAATACGAAATAAAATTTCCCTAGGCATCGCAACAGTCCTCTCTTTTTCTTGTTCGGCGAGAAGAATAAAAATCCATTCTCTCAACGATCGTAAATAACGCCTATGCGTTATAACATTTGCGCTCAAATCCGGAAGAGGATTGGAAAAAAGGTCGCAACAAGGCGGAGAAAAATAGTTAGCCGCAAGCCCGCCCCGCTAGGCTTTTCCTGTCACCCGCGCGTATCCCCTCCACGTCCTCCCCCAGAATAAGGACGAAAGCTCCGAGAAGCTTCGAGTTTGTATCGAGACCCCCGTACCAGAGCAGTTGAGCACCCCTGAGCACAAGATGTCCTCCTGAAGACTATCTCGGCCTTGGTCCCGCGGGAAACCTCTTCCTTCCTACCGTTCCTATCTCAGGACACTCTATAGCCTATTCAGATACCAGGCTCACCCTACTGCTCCCATGTTAGCCAGCTTGCGTGGAACAGAGAGAGAGAGAGAGAGAGAGAGAGAGATACAGAGGGAGGGAGAGAAGGCAAAGCGCGAGGGGGAGAGAAAGAGCGCGTATTCCCTTCCAAGGACAAGGGAGAGACACAGAGAGAGTGTAGAACCAGCGGTATATATAAGTGCGCGAGCGAGTATTCGAGTGCTCTTATACCTTACAGCCTCCTCGCCACACCTCGTAGAAAACGTATTTTGCAAGCCTAAATATCCTTCCCAGTCGCGGCCCCATGCGCCGCTATCTCGTGCAAGTGGCGGCTACCTTCGAGGAACGAGTTATCGTGCTCCCTTATTTCGCAGATCGTTGGGAAGGACGATAGCACGGCTAAACTGATGAGACCCAGACCCATTGACGTTTCTACATGCACGATTCTACGCGGTATATGTAATGCTTGCAACGTATATTTGTCGTCCTGGTCGCGATATCTTCGTGGAGGGATTAAAATTGCGACGCAACGAGCGATAAAGAAAGTCTGTTCACGACGGCGTCGAAGAAATGAAAATGAAAATCGGTTGTTCATCACTCACCGGTCGATGATAACAGGATCGCTCGGGGTCTCGTTCCTGTTTCCGCAGCTCTTTTTGTCGCAACACCGGCTAGAACAAAATTAGACGGATCGATGAGAAATTAGTATGCACGATTTTCAAACATTTCTTCGGTCGAGGGGTCGTGGATGGGTCCAGTGGAGGGGTGAGAAACTTGTGCCAGGTCTAAAAACTATCCGAACCCTTGGGACTCGGCAAGTTCGGGGGTGGAGAGTCGTCAGCTCAAAGTCCCATGGGTCAATGAGTCAGCCACCCCCGGAGAATGATTGCATCCCCGTGCGTCTCGTTACGTTTATGGTTTGCCACCGCAAGGGTGGTTGCTACTCGCATGAACACTGGATATTTTTGCTCCTTGTCCATACGTGTTTGCATTCGGTCCGAGTCTTATCGGTGAGCAGGGATCGCCGAGGCGCGCGTTTCATCGCAAATCTCTGTAAAACTCTGCTTCCCTTCGTTTCGTACGGTAACACGGTGGTTCGCGTATCGGGATTTCAACTCTATCTAAATTATCTACTTTTAAAATAATTATCGCGACGAGAATGCATGCGAGGGTTCTCGATCGAAGGTTTTTTTTTTTTTTTAATTCTAACGTTAAGAAGAAACTCACCTGCACATCACTTCGTGAGTAAGAAGGACCCTACACATTTCAGGATTTTTATCTTGTCCCTCGTACATGATGGCCTGAAATAAAAGAAATAATTATATTACTCCGCATATGGGCACGCGACGAGAGAAAAGGACGCGTCAGAGAACTATCCGCACGGTTGAAAGTCGAGAAGGGGCCATTTCCCCTAGAACACCGCTAAGCCATGCTCGGCTTAAGCAAATCCGTTAAGCTTCCTTCACGACCTTCCGATTGATTTTTATTTAATGACAACGCGTCGTTATCTTGTATTCATACACTTACAGTTTGGGGAATGAGAATAAGGATTAGCCACGGAATAAATAAAGCGCGGATCTTGTTTTTGATCGAGACAACGAAATTCTTGTTCGAGCGATTAAAAGTTTCCTCAAACGTAGGATTCGATATAAAAGTTGGAAATTTCAATGCGATCAGGGAGGAAAGAACATTCGTATTTCTCTCCACGCATCGGACGCGTAATCGTTAATCGTATCGCAAGGTATACCGTAATTTATGCTCGAGTTGGTATTATGCGCGTAACGACCCAAATTGCTAGAGTTTGCGAAGAAGCGATAAAATGTAAATACTTTGAAATACAGTGTCCCAGGGAATTGGTTGGGTCGACGTCGGTACGCGAGAGCGGTTCTCGAATAAGCGGAGGGGGTAACGATATCAAATACATTTTGCCTCGCCGGTTAGGTGTGACTTTCGGAAACGGCATCAAATATTTATACGAACAAAATAACCGAATTGCAACGTAAACGAGCCGCGATGCTTGTATACGCGGCGGAAGGTAAATCAGAAGAGGAGGAGGATCCCCCCGTCGAAGTGGAAATAGAGGGGTAAAAATAAACACGGAAGGAGGGAAGAGGAGAAGGAGAGGCGAAGGAAGGAAAAGAGCGGTTGTTCCTCGATAGAGGAAAACGAAAGGAAGTATAAAACGTTTCGTGCCCCTCAGCCGTTTCGACTTCTAATCGTTGGCCGGCATGCGATCTTATTTGTATCGTGAATAATTAATACGAGTATCCATCTCGTACACATTAACCCCTGCTCCAAGACACGGGGATATTGTTATTAGTTGCTTAATCAACTAACTATTCTCCTAAAATTTCAGTCAACGTTCTATTAAAGGGAACGAACCGATCCGTCCCCGTTCGTGCTATCGCGGTAAACGGTTCTTTGAATCGCGAAATAAATATAATTTGTTTAACCAATGATTATACGCGTATATTTGAAATGATAATTGGTTATACGCGTCCAATACTCACGATAATTTTTGTTTATACACGTAGTATAACGATCATCGGGTGTGGATCATCCAGGTACACCATCTGATACGAAATATTTGCCCGGTAATCATCGTCGTAGGTACGCGTTGTTGATTTTACGTGTATCTATACCACTTATGGACAATTTTCAGCAATTAGTTTTTACCTCGTTCCTCGTTCTCGCGAACCATTCGATAAATTCTCGTTTCTTTTTTTCTTTTTTTTTTTTTCCTATTTCTATCGAATCGATCGAATGTATCTCTAAATACCTTAGAGATCTCGTTGTTGAAATCACGCATAATCATGGTACGAATTGGTCATTTATCATTTACAATAATAACATTTTTCGAAGAAATTTCTATATTTATTTAATCATTTCGTCGTTATATATACACGTGCAATAATCGATGTATAACATAAAACTTGTCAGTTAATTCCACGAGTAATCGAAATTTGACGGTATCGCGTCAATTAATCGTTCTAAACGAGATTGAAACTCGTAATTAGATCATTACACAACGATTGATTACTTATTTTTTGTATTTCAAAATTAAAAACGATTAAAAATAATAAAGATTTGCAAAAAGGGGCAAATGTGTTATGTTTTGAGCGGCAAAAGATACGTGTGTGCGGTATCTTGAAGAAATGATTCGTTCGAGCAGAGTTTGCAAGTAGTAATATCGTCAAACGTCGTCCTGAGGGTGCGACCAATCAACATCAGCCCCTTGGAGGCCTTTCTTCCGTTGCTTCAGCTCCCAATAGAAACGATTTGGTCCTCCCTGCCGCTCTCCAATTCCCACGGGAATTACTTACGAAGGACTAATAGCGATAACATGCTAGCACTGCTGGTTTTTAAATATACACAGATGACGATACGTACACGTCCATCTCTACTTGTCCACTGTATTCCTTCGATCGAAAGTAGAGCAATCGCTTTAATTTAATTATATTTCTATCTATACCTATCTTTTTAATTTATTAAACAATTGTTGCTTTGTTATTATCCTTTTCGAAAGATATGTATATATCGATCGGAATTGAATAAAAAAAAATACGGGAGAGAAAATTCTGCGCTCGAAAGCAGAAGTAAAAAGCATAACGTTATTCACGACGAGTGTTCAAAGATGGAAGCAGAATGGAGGAAGAAAAGAAATGGGAGGAGGACGTACGTACGTACGTAGATAAATACGAAGATAGTCATTCAAATCTGCCGTAATGATTTCCATCCCGAATCGATTCCAAAAGTCCCCTGGGAATCCCCCTCTATACCGGTTGTGCAACCCCTGTCGCCTCGCGTATACACCATCGAACAACGTGCATACAATGTTACTTTCACCCCTGAGAAGAATGTCCATCGCTTAGGGGGGACAGGCGATGCCGCGCTCTCTTTCTTATCTTATCCTAAGGATTAACTTATCTTCAAACTTATTATTTCCTTAATCTATAGTTAAATACTCATATTTCAGCATTACATCGGACGACCATCCGACGTTCAAACGGCGATACCGATTCGATTCGGATTATTTTTACCCTACCCTTTTCAACTCGCGAATACGCTTCTTCTCCTTCTCCTCCTCCTCCTTCTCCTCCTCCTCCTCCTCCTTCTGCTGCTCTTTTCAAGAGCATGCGTGTTTTCAACGACCATACGATACCAAGATATTCCTTCGATACCGATAATCGATTTAACGAAACGAATATATACACGAGTGTGACGTAACCAACCAATCCTTTCTCGATTCCTTTTTGAATTCCCATGGGCAGTATTTCGCGAACAAAAAAAAAAAAAAAAAAAGAAAAAGACGAGAGAGAGAGAGAGTTCCGACTGATCATCTCCAGCGGCGGATGGAAGTTGGAGCTTAAAAGGGTTAGGTACAATTTCCTGTTGTTCATTCATTTAAAATAACGACGGTACGCGGTTCGCTGCTTCCTCCATACCCGCGCCCTGTAAATGCTTTTTTATCCCCGGAACTAATTACAATTTAGCATTTTTAATCCTGCGAAAAAGCGCATTCCGACCCAACCTTCTCTCTTTCCCTCTTCCCGGCCGGAACTTCGTTCTCAAGCGCTTACAAACGTACGTTGTTAGCGCCATTCAGCCGCGGCATCCACGCCGCCACTCTTCTCTTCCTCCGTGGAGGAAGCCGCTCGTATTTTTCTGGAAATTTCAACAGAGAGGAGAACGCGCGCGCCAGTTCTCGACATCCTGTATTTCCTCCTCCTCCTCCTCCTTCCCCCCCTCCTCCTCCCCCCTTTCTCGTCCCGGAGAGCGGCTCCTCCCTGCCGCCGCCGCCGAAGCGAAAGTAGAGATATAGATACCCACCACCAGCCAGGTTGGCCAGGAGCGAAGAAATTGAAGAACAGCTTAAGGGTAGGAGGGCTTCGCCACGGGCTCAGCAGCCAGCTCGGTGTAGCCAATTATTGCGGATTTATAACCGACCACTTGATTCGGTCTCGAGCTACTACTCGAGTCGGCCGCATTTCCGAATTGCAATTTCTCCACCGTAACTCCATCTTCAACTATGAAATTTTCCTTCCTTCTTTAAATAAATTTTCTTACTTATACTCGATTTGTCGTTATTACACCGATTCGTATAATATATGTATGTATGTATGTGTATATACGTATACATCACAGATATCGACGAACATTTCGAACATGAATTTCTTTTATCCGTTTTTCGTTTAATTTTTACGATGGTCCTCTCTATCGAGAAGTTATAACGAACGATCGCGAGTAGTTTTCAAGTCGGTAGAGGTAGCAAGTAGTCCGGGGCTAAACGTAGTTCTTTTTTTTTTTTTTTTTGCTTTTAGAGGTTTAATCCGGGGTGGAGAGGGGGGGGGCGTTTGTAAATTTTGCAGGACACGATACGCGGTAAGAACACATCAACCCAGATTTGCTAAACACTTCGTACGAGTTGTTTCGCGAAACTCCATACACGGGCAGGGTAAATATATATATCGATTCTCGTGTCTGTATGTCTTCCTCTCGCTTTGCCAGAATGGAGGAGACGCGTTCAATCGAGGCTTTGATGTATAAATTGCAGCTTTCTCGTTTTCGATCCCACCCTTCCCCCCATCCAACTTTCTACTCCCTTTACCGGCACGATTCCTCTATAGGAGACACGGAAAGGGTATCCCGGCATCTATCACTTCCGCTTTTCTTTTCCTCGTGGACAATCGGTCCGGAGAATCGCTATCGAGACGTTTACTCCGTTCAAGATTCCGTTTCATTCTCTTACCGATGTTTCTACCTGTCTACTTACATTTTTTATACATCTCTATCGGATCCCGATAGAAATAAAAGCCGACCCAATCTCCAAAAAAGCTCTCTCCTCCGAACGAATAATCTTTTCTCGAAAAAAGAAAAAAATTAACTAACTCCGTTAAAATTACTCGTTAAAATTCTACACGATCTCTCTCTCTCTCTCTCTCTCTCTGTTCTTTTAAATGGTAGATTAACGCGTAGATAACCGAAGGTCCCTCACGAAAGATATTCAACCTCACGATTCAACTCGGATCCGATTAATAAAAGGAATGGATCGCGAATTGAAGAACGGTCTCTGCCGGCGCAAGGCCACCGCGGCTTAGTAATTTAATCAGCTAAAACTAACATCGGCTCTCTGTTTCCCCAACCTTTCCTTCCTTCCTTCCTACTCGGCCGCCTCTTTCTTCTTCTCCCTACTGCTCTTCTTACCTCCGTAACCGACCAACCCCAAGATGATTTAATCTTGCTAAAATGGTGCAAGTACCTATATAGGTACTTAGAAGGCAGGGTCGCGACACGAAACAAAATAATTCAAGAAAGTAGGTGTATATATAACCTCCCGCGCGGAACAAACGCAGAGAATCCTCTCCGTTCCTTCGAGATCGTACAACACTCCTCTCCCCAAAATCTCGTGGAAGAAAATGGAAGATACGTTTAATTCGATCGAAGGAGAAATCGATAATCCGTTCGTTTCATCTGCTGGCGACGACATCGTAGGTCGAGCGCGTAAAACGATTCGCGGAAGGCGCGATCGAACGCGTAAAGACTTATCGCGCGCTGCGATCAGGCGTATTTGCGTTTGCTACTACGATGATCCTTCTTTGCGCCCTATCACCGCGCCAGGATCTACGGCCCTGTGTACAGGGTCGGGGAACACGTGGTTCGCGCGCAGGGTTGGCCACGTGGCGCAGATAACAGGATGGGGCGGTCGCCGCTTTCCTCGAGGGGTAGGAACCAACCCCCCGGAAAATTAAGTGCTTGTAGCTCGGATGATAATACGGCGTCGCTCGGCCTATTTTCCAAGTGTTTCATCGCGCGGAAACGGAGAGAGAGAGAGAGAGAGAGAGAGAGAGGAAGGAAAGTACGCGTCGACCAACTAAAATAATGTCGACAACG